ATATATAAAGTCAAGGTGCTATATAAAGTCAAGGTGCTATATAAAGTCGAGGTGCTATATAATGTCAAGGTGCTATATAAAGTCAAGGTGCTATATAAAGTCAAGGTGCTATATATAGTCAAGGTGCTATATAAAGTCAAGGTGCTATATAAAGTCAAGGTGCTATATAAAGTCTAGGTGCTATATAAAGTCTAGGTGCTATATAAGAAAGTTTGAAAACTACTGGTCGTATTATTGTGTAGAGAACGCGGTTCCCAAACTGGGTGCCGCGAAGCGTTTGCCAGGGGCGGCGTGGCAACAATCAAGAATTTGTTCAAAAATCAGCTTGGGATCAAAGAAGACAGCAGTTTAAAGCAGTAGTTCTGGACGCAGGTGTAGTCAGAAGACAATGCTATTTATCAAGACTGCAGTACTTATCGTAATCGTGTATATATGTATATATATATATATATATATATATATATATATATATATATATATATATATATATATATATATATATATATATATATATATATAAACAGAATAAGGAGCAACTTTCTCCGTCAAGTGTTTTGAGGGTAAAATTAACTAAACGTCCCATAAACATAAGGAAATATTGAAAAGTTAATCTGAACATTTCATTCATCGCATTATTGACAAGTAAACAATAAATGTGCACTCGGTTTTGGCTCCTAAGTATTCAAACTGAGGGTAGGTGTGCCCGAAATGTTTTTCGCCCGACAAGGGTGCCTCGGCGAAAACAGTTTGAGAACGGCTGGCCTAGAGAAATGAATTTAATTATAAAACCGTATCCCTCCTTGGAAGTCAACCCAGCGTTTGTGTTTGTTTGTGGTCTCGCTGAGCAGTTTTGGCTTTCAGTAGTTTGCCACTGCTTTCTGAATCGTTGGCATAATATCATTATCGTTATCAACGCAAAGCTGTCTATTGCAAAATCGCCTGCAGCTGAATCAAATCATAACTCTAAGGCCACAGACGCCGACAATGTGTACCAAACAATGCGTACAAACAAAACATGTTGAAGTGTACTAATGTCGACTTACATGTTTTCTGCCTCGACAACTCTACCTGAAGTTTAGCGTTGGCACCAACCTTAGCCGCAAAAGCCACAAACACTGTTGCATTGGTCAGAGCTCCGTCTTTGTTCACGGCTCGGTCTGTCCTTGCCTTTAAAAAATCAGACAGTGGGCTATATATTTTTTTAAATTCAGAAATTTTCTACTGGGTACTGGGTCAGGGCTGGCGCTCTCGCGAGCGCGCGCGCGCACATACACACACACGCACATACAGACACACACATGCCCCTTAACTGCTCGATTCCGGTGGAATTGAAATTTCACACTATCACCAACTGTCACATTTGAAAACAGTTTAAAAAAAAAAACTTGTCAATCACAGAAAAATCTGAAAGCTTGCACACGCAAAGTAGACATACGTAAAGCAGCTGTCAGATGTTCCAAAAGTAAAGGTCCCTCGCCAGAATTGCAACTCATTGCTGGCGCCAGCGATCAATAACGGAAGCCGGCGTTGCACCTGCAGAAGCACTCGTCTTTCTGAACGTCACTGACCGGCCATCATTTTAATATTTAGCAGTCACTTTCGCGACGTGCCAGGGCTGTGAGGTCTCGGGGCAGTGTGTCCACCTAGAGTGCCAGAGGTCCCGGGTTCAGGCCACAGGGAGGGCTGAGATTTGTTTCATTCTAGTAATTTTCCCTGGTCTCTCGGTAGTGAGATCGGACCCTCGTGTGTATTGCTGCGCACGTAAAATAATCCCTTGGCATTTAGAAATCGAAAAGAGTAGCATAACGGCGCTGCTCGGGCAAAATCTGAAGTGGAAAAATCTACCCAAAGTATTTCAGGTTCCTCGCCGGTGCTACAGAGTTCGTGCACTGTGCTGAGAATCTTTGAACTCAGGCTTGAGTTAGAAGTAGATAGGAGCACTTATGTGTTACTACCCGAGTGCCGTGATGTTGATCCGTTGTCCGAACCTTTTTTTTTTTTTTTAAACCTTGACACCTTTCGTGACGTTTATCTCGCATGGCATGAAGAGGAGTAAAAAAAAAGTAAAGATCCCTTTTCACGCCTATCGGCGCATCGCGCATATGGGAAGAGCGTCCCATATTTTTACAGACCATCAGCACTCGGCGGGTAATGTGGTCAGCATTACGCCGGCTGTCTTTACTTTCCCAGGACAGCCCATCCTGGTACCCATTTTAGGCTGGGTCGACCTGCGACGTCCCATACCACGACAAAAATCCACGCAGCCTGCAGTGGGTTTCGATCGCGGTATGCTGGCTCACGAGTCGGACTCGCAACGCCTTAGCCACGGACGCCGCCATTAAGAGAAGACTCGCTTTTAAATCCACCTGCAACGCGCTGCAGCCCACTGCTGGTGTTCGAAACCGGACAGTTCCTGGGGTTCACCCTACCTCTAGGTAATGCGTATTAGAGTTAGCACTCTGGGGTAAACAGAAGAACACCGCTGTAGCCACGAAGTTTGGTGTGGACAGTTTCTTATCAGCTGTGCCGTACTAAGTGGCAGAAGATTAATTCCACGCATCTTCTCTTCGCTTGATTTCTTGAATCTTATCTTTGCATGATTCCAGGTATCTTCTCTTCGCTTGATTCCTTGCATCGTCGCTGCTTGATTTCTTGAATCTTCTTTTTACTTGATGTCATGTATCTTCCCATAAGCTTTACTTTAAAAAAAAAAGGTGATTTTTTAAATAAGGGCTTGGTCATGTGTTCGAACTTATGACCACCTAGTCAACGGGCTAGAGGTTTAATTTCTGCAAACAGGAATTGTTTAAAGAGAACTTGGTCACAACTAATAAGATTGACGGTAAGAGAGCAAGGACAGGGCAAAAAGATAAATACCTGGATGGCTTAGACATATAGATAGGTCAAGACAAGAACATTGACCTGATCAAAAACTCTGGTGATCTTGCGAGATGACGAAACATGACAGCCTACGTTCACCGGTTGTATTTCAGCAAGAAAAATGATGATGATGAGGAGGAGGATTAGGGTGATAAGGTTAGTGACGCTGTTGATGATGACAGCGACACCTGTGACAATGATGATGATAATGATGCTGATGATAATGAGATAAGGATGATAGGAATAATAATAAGGAGATGATGATGATAATGATGAAGATGAAATGATGATGATGAGATGATGATGATAATGATGATAATGATGAGATTATGATGATGATGGTGATTATGATGTTGATGATGATGACGACGAGATGATGATGATGATTATGATAATGCTTAAATGATGATGGTGATGATGATAATTAGGTGATGATGATAATGATGGTAATGATGATGATATTAATAATGTGATGATGATAATGGTGATGATGATGATATTGGTGATGATGATGGTAATGACAATGTGATAATGATATTGGTTATGATGATGGTGATAATGTGATAATGATATTGGGGATGATGATGGTGATGATGATGATATTAGTGATGATGAAGGTGATGATGATGGTATTGGTAATGGTGATGATGATGGTGATGATGATGATAATCTGATGATGATAGTGACTATGATGATGTTTATAGTGAAGACGATGATGATGATGGTTTGAGGGTGATGTGATGTGTTAATGATGATGGTGACGACGATGATATTGATGATGATGATGATGATGATGATGATGATGATGATGATGATGATGATGATGATGATGATGATGATGATGACGACGACGATGATCTAACTGTAAAACTCAGGGTGCCACAAACCTGAAGGACGAATGAAATCTTCTTGATCTCCGTCATGATGTACTCTCCCCACACATTGAGTGTGTAGCGATTGTCGTCCAAGGTTGTGATGTGTGGGTCTCCCCACGTGCAGGCTGCAACATGATACCACACAAACAACACTTGAATAATGGGTGTCTCTGTCTGTCTGTCTGTCTGTCTGTCTGTCTGTCTGTCTGTCTGTCTGTCTGTCTGTCTGTCTGTCTGTCTGTCTGTCTGTCTGTCTGTCTGTCTGTCTGTCTGTCTGTCTGTCTGTCTGTCTGTCTGTCTGTCTGTCTGTCTGTCTGTCTGTCTGTCTGTCTGTCTGTCTGTCTGTCTGTCTGTCTGTCTGTCTGTCTGTCTTCTTAATGTCCATGTCTAATGGTGTTGGTAGTCGTCTTTCTACAACCTTCTATCTCTTGTACATTCAGTCAGCTCTGACACAGATGATCCTCCCTGCCATGATCTCAAACTGTCCAATCTCCCTCTGCCTCTCCTTCCCTCCAACTTTCCTCACGACGTACTCTAGTTTTCCCCTTCTCATCACATGACCAAAGAATGTAGAATGTCTCTTTCTGGTGTGGGCAGTCAATTCCATACGTGGGTCAGTTTCTTTCAAGACATCTTCATTACTCTTTCTATCTGATGTTAGTGAATGGGGTAATGCCCCACTTACCCGCGATAGAGTAAACGTTGAATTCAACCAATCAAACGCGGAAGTAATAATTCAGTCGAAACAATCAATCAATAAAACTTTTACAAAACAATATTTACCATGATCAGTCAATCAAACAATGGACCACTCAATCAATGATTCAAATAATTCAGTTAAACATGGAATCAGTCAGTCAAATATTAATCAGTCAACAAGGAATGAATGAAACAGTTCATACAAATAATAACCCGATCATTAATCAGTGAAATAATCACTCGGTCGTCAATGAGGGAATCAATCATTTAATCCAAAAAAAATGTTCAGTCCATTTCTGGAATTAATCAATAAACCAACCGTTCAGTCAACAATGAGGGAATCAATCAATCAGTCATGTAATCATTGAGTCAACAATGAGTCGATCGATCAACCTCTGAAATAATTGTTCAGGAAACAATGAGCCATTCGATTATATAAATCAACATTCCATAATCAGTCGATCACTTAAGCAACAAGGCAATCAGTCAGATCGTAATCATTTAGTCAACGTTGATTCAATCAGACAATCAGTCAATTAATTTGTGTGGTCAAGGATTAGTCAATCAACAATCACCCACTCCTTCCCCAAAACAAGGATATTTACCCGTCTCCACTTCAGCAGTATACAAACAGCCCATATCTGGCCGCACTTCGTAGAACTTCAGACAAGTGGCCCAGTTGGATTCCAGACAGCACCACTTGTGCGGGTTCAAGTCCTGGGTCAGGGATTCGGTGTTGTCTCCCCACTCGGAGAAGGGATTAGCTGTCAGGATGTGTCCAGCATAGGGGGAGCTGGAGATGTATGAGTACTGTCGCCAGTAGCTCCAGGAGTCGTATCCCAGCCAGTAGCCTGGCCAGTAGGGCGAGTAGGTGTACGTCAGTGGGGGTAGCCTGAAGCAGCACATCTGGAATAGTTAGTTAGTCTTAGTTAGTCTTAGTTAGTCTTAGTTAGTCTTAGTATTAGTTAGTCTTAGTTAGTATTAGTTAGTCTTAGTATTAGTTAGTCTTAGTTAGTCTTAGTTAGTATTAGTTAGTCTTAGTTAGTCTTAGTTAGTATTAGTTAGTATTAGTTAGTCTTAGTATTAGTTAGTCTTAGTATTAGTTAGTCTTAGTTAGTATTAGTAAGTATTAGTTAGTCTTAGTATTAGTTAGTCTTAGTATTAGTTAGTCTTAGTATTAGTTAGTCTTAGTTAGTCTTAGTTAGTCTTAGTTAGTCTTAGTTAGTATTAGTTAGTCTTAGTATTAGTTAGTCTTAGTTAGTCTTAGTTAGTATTAGTTAGTCTTAGTATTAGTTAGTCTTAGTTAGTCTTAGTTAGTATTAGTTAGTCTTAGTTAGTCTTAGTTAGTATTAGTTAGTATTAGTTAGTCTTAGTATTAGTTAGTCTTAGTATTAGTTAGTCTTAGTTAGTATTAGTTAGTCTTAGTATTAGTTAGTCTTAGTATTAGTTAGTATTAGTTAGTATTAGTTAGTCTTAGTTAGTATTAGTTAGTCTTAGTTAGTCTTAGTTAGTATTAGTTAGTATTAGTTAGTATTAGTTAGTCTTAGTTAGTCTTAGTTAGTATTAGTTAGTATTAGTTAGTCTTAGTTAGTCTTAGTATTAGTTAGTATTAGTTAGTATTAGTTAGTATTAGTTAGTATTAGTTAGTATTAGTTAGTATTAGTTAGTATTAGTATTAGTTAGTATTAGTTAGTATTAGTTAGTATTAGTTAGTATTAGTTAGTATTAGTTAGTATTAGTTAGTATTAGTTAGTCTTAGTATTAGTTTAGTAGTTAGTTTAGTTATTAGTTAGTTATTAGTTAGTAGTAGTTAGTATTAGTTAGTATTAGTTAGTATTAGTTAGTTATTAGTTAGTAGTTTAGTAGTATTAGTTAGTATTAGTTAGTATTAGTTAGTTAGTTAGTATTAGTAGTTAGTATTAGTTAGTATTAGTTAGTAGTAGTAGTAGTATTAGTTAGTATTAGTTAGTAGTAGTTAGTAGTTAGTTAGTAGTTAGTTAGTATTAGTTAGTAGTTAGTTAGTTATTAGTTAGTATTAGTTAGTATTAGTTAGTATTAGTTAGTATTAGTTAGTATTAGTTAGTATTAGTTAGTCTTAGTTAGTCTTAGTTAGTCTTAGTATTAGTTAGTCTTAGTATTAGTTAGTCTTAGTTAGTATTAGTTAGTCTTAGTTAGTCTTAGTATTAGTTAGTCTTAGTATTAGTTAGTATTAGTTAGTATTAGTTAGTCTTAGTTAGTATTAGTTAGTCTTAGTTAGTCTTAGTTAGTCTTAGTATTAGTTAGTCTTAGTATTAGTTAGTCTTAGTTAGTCTTAGTATTAGTTAGTCTTAGTTAGTCTTAGTTAGTCTTAGTTAGTCTTAGTATTAGTTAGTCTTAGTTAGTCTTAGTATTAGTTAGTCTTAGTTAGTCTTAGTATTAGTTAGTCTTAGTTAGTCTTAGTATTAGTTAGTCTTAGTTAGTCTGTATAGTAGTAGTTAGTTAGTTTAGTTAGTTAGTTAGTATTAGTTAGTCTTAGTTAGTATTAGTTAGTCTTAGTTAGTCTTAGTTAGTTAGTTAGTCTTAGTATTAGTTAGTAGTTAGTTAGTATTAGTTAGTATTAGTTAGTATTAGTTAGTTAGTATTAGTTAGTTAGTTAGTTAGTTAGTAGTATTAGTTAGTCTTAGTTAGTATTAGTTAGTATTAGTTTAGTCTTAGTTAGTATTAGTTAGTCTTACGTTATTAGTTAGTTCTTAGTTAGTCTTTATTTAGTCTTAGTTAGTCTTAGTTAGTCTTAGTTTAGTATTAGTAGTTAGTCTTAGTTATTAGTTAGTAGTCTTAGTTAGTTAGTCTTAGTTAGTATTAGTTAGTCTTAGTATTAGTTAGTCTTAGTTAGTCTTAGTTAGTATTAGTTAGTCTTAGTCTTAGTTAGTCTTAGTTAGTCTTAGTTAGTATTAGTTAGTCTTAGTCTTAGTTAGTCTTAGTTAGTCTTAGTTAGTCTTAGTTAATCTTAGTATTAGTTAGTCTTAGTTAGTCTTAGTTAGTATTAGTTAGTCTTAGTATTAGTTAGTCTTAGTTAGTCTTAATTAGTATTAGTTAGTCTTAGTTAGTCTTAGTTAGTATTAGTTAGTCTTAATTAGTATTAGTTAGTCTTAGTTAGTCTTAGTTAGTATTAGTTAGTATTAGTTAGTATTTATTAGTATTAGTTAGTCTTAGTTAGTCTTAGTTAGTCTTATTTAGTTTTAGTTAGTCTTAGTTAGTCTTTGTTAGTCTTAGTTAGTCTTAGTTAGTCTTAGTTAGTCTTAGTTAGTCTTAGTCTTATTTAGTCTTAGTTAGTTTTAGTTAGTCTTATTTATTCTTAGTTAGTCTTAGTTAGTCTTAGTTAGTCTTATTTAGTCTTAGTTAGTCTTAGTTAGTCTTATTTAGTCTTATTGTCTTAGCTAGTCTTAGTTAGTCTTATTTAGTCTTAGTCTTAGTTAGTCTTTCCTCTTGAGCCTAGGACAGCGCATAGGGAAGAGGTCATAGCTCTCTTTGTCTGGCGGTTCTTTGCCACCTGATTTATGACTTGGATATTCATTAGGCCTGAAGTTTGACATTTCCTGAGGATGGTTCTTAGCAGAGTCTCTCTTGGTCTTCCCCGTTTTTCTTTCCCTTTCGGTTTCCATATGAAGGCGTGATGGGACAGTCTTGTCTTATCCATCCTGAGTGCATGGCCGATGTAGTTCCAGCTGCGCTTTCTTATAAAATTTGATACATTGTCTTGCTTGGTCTCTTGTCTTATTTGTGCTTTGGGTCTGAAATCTGTCCAGTGGGGATTTAGTATTCTTCTAAAACATCTGTTCTCAAAATTGTGTAATTTTTTTTTTTGTAACATCTAAAAACATCTGGAATATACATTTAAAAAATGTTCACACACACCTGGTTTGGCAACCTCTCTATCCAGCCCCTTATTTTCCTTGATTATATTTCACTTTGTTATCGCTTCCCCATTCTTCTATAAAAATGATACCTGCTTCGATTCTGTTCTTTACACAACTCAGAAAAAATATAATCCTCACCGACACAGTCGTGACGACATTACTAGCCGTGCGGCCGTTAAACGCTCA